CATCTCAACATCATCATCAAAATTCAAGAATTAAATATCTCTCAAAAACTTAATTTAATTCATGTAATAATCAATTAAGCAATTATTCAAAATCACCTAAAAATTAAACACTCAATTCAACTAGAGATGCAAAATTATCAAAGAAAAATCAAAGCAAACACTGGGAGGAAGATGACTGAAGCACATTGTATCATCGGAGAAATCGCGCGAAGAGAGGAAGGGGAGCCGCCGAAAAATCACGAAGGGAGAGAGGGTGAGATCGCCGGAAAAATGCAAGGCGACGTAGGGAGTTAGTAGACCGGGAGAGTCCCCGGAGAGTGAGGGATAGCCAGAGGTGACGCGGATGGCGGCGGAGTATGATGAGGAGCGACTGTTCGTAGAAGCTTGAAGGAGTGAAGGAGATGAAGTTGTTTAAGTTTTCTCCTTTAATGTTCTTGAGGAAATTGAGAGAAAGTTGAGAGAATTTTGTTTTTGATTTGTGAAATTAGGAATAATGAGTGTAATTGTGTTTGAAATTTGAATTTCAAAAATATATAGTATTAACTCCAAACTTGAATTTTCAGCTTATTTCTTGCACAGTGCGAGATCAAACCCTAAGCTCGACATACGGTGCAAAATCCTGACGCGCGACTTGAAACAAAAATGTTGAAGACAAAATTTATGATGCGGCGCCAAAAGAATCATTCCGTTACGATAAAAACCGAGCAAGTTATGATGCTTCAAATTGCGAGAAACAATGGACTTATTTTGCCGCATTAAAAAGTTCAGCTTATTTTCACGCGCACTTTAGGAAGCAAGCCACAAACCGAAGCCTTCGAAGCATAATCTAAACTCGGGACCTGAAGAAAAGTTATAGCTCATAAAATTTGTGATCTCACACTTTGGGAATCATCCTGAACCATTTCAATATCGAGAAACGGTTTGGTAGAAAACCATTTCGGGGTGCAATTTTCTATAGTAATTCACACTTTCAGAGATCTTGTACAAGGAATTGGCTTCTGACTTGAACATACGAATCAAAGATAAAATCAAGATGGATGTTTCTCCCAAAGAACCATTAAAAAACGTCGAACCGGGCGAAAATTATGAGTTTTTGAACATCTGAAAAATAACGGTTCAACACACTATTTCACGGCATTTTCATTGTATATCTTCAGAGTATTTGCACATCCAGAGATCTTCCTTAACAAATCGGATTCCGGCCCAAACACAAAAATAAAAAGAAATAACAAGACGATTCAAATTCTATAAGAACCACCCAAAGATGATATTTCGGTCAACAATTACAAATTTGTAGGCATCCGAAAACTAGTGAACCAACAAATCCACTGTATAATGCATTTCAGGTATTTTGGTGCTTTTGAAAATCTTCCTCACAAAATTAGTCTTCAACCTGAACAAATGAATGAATTGAAGAAGATCCCAAGATGGTTCTAATGACCAAAGAATAATTCCCAAACCATTTTTCGGTCTCAAGTTATGAATTTTTGAGCTCGAAACGCACAATACTGAATTTATGTCTGCGCTGTCTCAAATCAATTGAAACACTTGATTTTCTGGGCAATTCCGAGCATGCCAATACACATGAGAGCTTGATATGATGATGACTTGAATAATTATTGGATAACTTGGAACACGTGCAGAGTGCATTAAAATGCGGAAAACCCAGAGTTCTGCTTCACACTGCTGGTTAACAAAACAATCATCTTTCGCAACTCTTTTCACAAAGAAATGCCATGATTCCATGGGTGTAGAACCAATGACATGCATGTATGCAGATGATGATAAAGCATGATCCAATTAGGGTTAAAATGAAGAGGGTGGATTTTGGGGTACAACAACTGCCCTTATTCAACCTTTTTTAGCCTGAGGGTGAGATTGGCGGTAGTCTTTCAAACAATCTAGGTAAAAGAGGATTGAATACTCAATAGAACCGTAAAGTTTGCACTTTGAAGATAGTCAGGTATTATCTATTTTGGTTTTCTGTATTTCTATTTTTTGCGTCTTATGAATAGTGGTTATCAGGAAATGTATGTCGAGTCAAGATTAGACACACAAAAGAAAGATCAGATATACATGTCTGGTAAGGATATTGGACACATACGAGAAATAGACCAGAAGAGGACTCTAAAAAAGATATCAAGAATACATGCCCAGAGTTGGTAGAAGAAACATATAAAAAAGAGGCTGACTGAAGTAGGCTCTAACAACGATATCAAGGACACATGTTCAGTGTTGATAGCGAACACATGACAAAAAAGAGACCAGAGTAAAGGACTCTATCAAAGATATCAAATATATATGTCTGGGATCAGTATCGAACACATAACCAGAAAGAGACCGAAGGAAAGGACTCTATCACCAACGTCGAATAAACATGTCTGGAGTTGGTAGCAAACATAAGAAAGAGACCGGAGAAAAGGACTCTTAACAAGGATATCAAATATGCATATCCAGAGTTAGTAGCGGACATGAGAAAGAGACCAGAAGAAAGGACTCTTAACAGGGATATCCCATATATATGTCCATAGAAAAGGACATATAACAGGAAAGAGGTCGGAGAAAAGGACTCCAACCAAAGACATCAAGAATATATGTCTGAAGGAAAGGACATATACGTAAGAGACCGGAGGAAAGGACTCTTAACAAAGATATCACAAATACATGTTCGGAGTTGGTAGCAAACACATACGAAAGAAAGAGACTAACTGAAGAAACCTCTGTCAAAGATATCAACAATACATGTATGGAGGAAACGACATATACAAAAAAGGTCGAAAGAAAGCACTCTATCAAAGATATCGAAAATATATGTTCGGAGTTGGTAGAGAATATATAATAAAGAGACCGGAAGAAAGGACTCTCACAACGGATATCACAACTATACGTCTGGAGGAAAGGACATATACGAAAGAGACTGGAAGAAAGGACTCTATCGGAGATATCGAATATACATGCCCGGAGTTTGTATTGGACATAAGAAAGAGATATCAGGCATATGCCAGATGAATTTATACATACACGAACGAGGAAGAGACCGACCAAAGAAGGCTCTAAGTCAGATGTTAATTATTGGGCTTTAAACAAATAAGATTGTTTTATACATCTTTCCATCTAAATGGGTCTTATGAAAAAAAGATTTGTTCACACCTCCTTTGAAACAATACATCTCCCGTAACTTGAAATGGACTTTTATTAAAGCCTAATTGGCCATCATATATTGATGGTCTATTTTGGATCGATACACCCTCTCTGATTTTAAACACCCCTATAGAAGTGAAAACTATATAATATAAATTATTCAATTAGAAACCTAAATACAATACACCTCCTTTAACTTGAAATGGGCTTTTATTAAAACCTAATTGGCCATCAGATATTGATGGTCTATTTTGGATCGATACACCCCTATCTGATTTTAAACACCCCTATAGAAGTGAAAACTATATAATATAAATTATTCAACTAAAAACCTAAATATAATATAAGGGTAGGGAAAATTTGAGGTATGACAACAGACAACTGGATACCGAAAAATGACACTTCAAAGTTATTAGTGCTAGGGGCGATCATGACCAAGAGGCTTTGGTCTCAGAGTTAATTGATCATGACCTGGGCATTTGGAAGAGGAATCTGATGAACTCCCAGTTTGATCTGTGGGAAGCACATCAGATTGCTCGCATCCCTATATCGAGGAGTGGCCTAGTAGGAGAGCTGGTTTGATACTGAGAAAAAGATGGTGAATACTTTGCGATTTGCATATCATCTCCTAAGAGCCAAGCGCGAGGCTCTCAAGGAGGGACCCTTAAGCCGTATTTATTCTTCTTTGTGGAAGAAACTCTGGAAAACTCTGGTTCATGCGCGTATCATAGATTTTCTTTGGAGGTTCAGTAAAAACATCCTGCCCATGAAGTCAAATATTGAGAAAAAGGTATGGAACTTGAAAACTTCTGTCCATTCTGTCATGTTCAGATGATCTAACACATGTTCTTAGTTTGCCCGTTTGCAAAAGGTGTCTGATTCTCTTCTCCCTTGGCTATTCATATTCCTCTTAACCCTGATCCGTACAAATGGTTGGAGGTTAATCTTGATGCTAATGATGCTTTTGGTTCTCAATTGGTTTGCACAACCCTTTGGAAAATGTGGAAAGCAAGGAACGATTGTGTTTTTTAAAATGCGCAGGTGAGACCATCGGATGTTGCCCAACGAGCTAGGGACTATGTCATTGAGTTTAATTTTGTAAATCCCCATCTGCGCGTTAAGAAGAAGATTCCCTCTAAGGATGAGAATGTTGATTGCCTGTCTGGTTGTTACAATATGCAGGTGGACGCATGGTGTCTCAATGATGGTACAATGGCGATGAGGATAATCATTCGGGATAGCCACCGCAATGTGATTATGTCTTCTTGTTGCAGGAAACAGGTTGATGTGGACCCGTGTATAACGGAAGCAATTACAATTGAATTAAAATTGAGACACACATCTTTCATATGATATAAAACAAAATAAATAATACAATCAATGTCAGAAACGCGTTCATAGAATTAAATTCACTATTTAATTATAATATTTATTTAATAATATTATTTGACTAATTAGAAAAACAATTATTTACTTTTCAAAATATATTCATTCACCAATAAACATAAAATTTATGGAAAATTATATTCACCTTCCTTAATATTTACTAAAATAAAAACGACATTTCTTCTAATTTTAAAAAAGTTTAATAGACATGCACTATCGATATAAAGATATTTTACACGATCGTCCAATAAAAAATTATCAATCTACTAAATCATCAAAATTATTTTAAGTTATAAAAAATTTCAAAAATTAAAATATTCCTTGTTCATTAAATATTTTTATTTATTAGATTCCACATTGAAACAAAAAAAAAAACATTAGATTCAGGATAAATAAGATAGAGTATGTTCTGGACTGTGTCTAAAGCTTAAACTAGTAACAGAATTTTGTCTTTGAGAGAACACATAAAAAGAATGAGTTTGCCACCCTTTGCATTACACCCTTCAAGTTCAACCTTTCCCAACACAACAACAACCACAACCTTAATCCCTTCACCTACACTCTTTGACCACCGCACTTCCACAAAACACCTTCATCAAATCCTTCCTCTCATCATCAAAAACGGTTTCTACAATCAACACTTGTTTCACTCAAAACTCATAAACCTGTTCTTCAAATATGGCACCATCAAAGAAGCATCTAGTGTATTTGAGAGTGTTGAACACAAACAAGATGCTCTTTACCATACTATGCTTAAAGGGTATGCAAAAAACTCAACTTTATGTGATTCTTTCAAGTTTTACAATAGGATGCAAAAGGATGAGGTTAAGCCTGTTGTGTATGATTTTGCTTATTTGTTGCAACTGTGTGGGAAAAAATTGGAACTTGAAAGGGGTAGAGAGGTTCATGGGCAGGTAATAGTTAATGGGTTTGAGTATAATTTGTTTTCAATGATTGGTGTTATGGATTTTTATGTGAAATGTGGGGAGATCGATGATGCGTATAAAGTGTTTGAGAGAATGTCGGAGAAGGATTTGGTTGCTTGGACTAGTTTGGTGGCGGGATTTGCGCAAACTGGTTTTCCTAGGAGAGCTTTGGATTTGTTTTTTCAGATGCAGGAAGCTGGTGAAAAGGCTGATTCCGTTACGTTGGTGAGTGTTTTGCCTGCTGTTGCGGATATTAAGGATTTGAGAATTGGAAAGGCTATTCATGGTTATGCTCTTAGATTAGGATATGAGTCTAAGGTTAGTTTTATGAATGCGCTTTTGTATATGTACTTTGAATGCGGATGTGAAAGGATTGCGAGATTGGTTTTTGAGGGGATGAGTAGCAAGTGTATTGTTTCGTGGAATACGATGATTGATGGTTATGCTCAAATTGGAAAGTCGGAAGAAGCTTTTGCTACTTTTTTGAAAATGTTGGATGAAGGAGTTGAACCTACACGAGTTGCAGTGATGGCGGCTTTGCATGCTTGTGCTGATTTAGGCAATCTTGAACGAGGGAAATTTGTTCATAATTTAGTAATTCAGATGAAACTTGATTTTGAAGTGTCTGTTATGAACTCTTTAATATCCATGTATTCGAAGTGTAAGAGAGTTGATGCCGCTTCCTCAATCTTTGATAATTTGAAGAAGAAAACAAACGTCACGTGGAATGCCATGATATTGGGTTATGCACAAAACGGGTATGTGAACGAGGCTATAAGTCTGTTCTGTATGATGCAATCGCAAGACATTAAACTTGACTGCTTTACTTTAGTGGCTGTAATTACTGCTCTAGCAGATTTATCAGTTAACCGCAAGGCGAAGGGGATTCATGGACTTGCCGTAAGAACTTTTATGGACAACGACGTCTTTGTTGCTACTGCTCTTGTTGACATGTATGCAAAATGCGGAGCCATTCAAACTGCGAGAAAGCTTTTTGACATGATGCAAGAGCGACATGTGATAACATGGAATGCAATGATAGATGGATACGGGACACACGGCCTGGGAAAAGAAGCTCTTGATCTCTTCAATGATCTGAAGAAAGAAGCTGTTTTGCCAAATGACACGACTTTTCTGTCTGTTATCTCGGCTTGTAGTCACTCGGGTTTTCTGGAAGAGGGCCTCTGTTTCTTCCAAAGCATGAAGGAAGATTATGGCTTGAAGCCTGCAATGGATCACTATAGTGCCGTTGTCGATCTCCTTGGTCGTTCTGGCAAGCTAGATGATGCTTGGAATTTCATCCAAGAGATGCCTATTAAACCGGGGATTACCGTTTTAGGTGCACTGTTAGGTGCTTGCAAAATTCATAAAAATGTCAAATTGGGCGAAAAAGCTGCAGACAAACTATTTGAGTTAGATCCAGATGAGGGTGGCTATCACGTCCTGCTTGCGAACATGTATGCATCTGCATCAATGTGGGACAAAGTGGCCAAGGTGAGAACAGCCATGGAGAAAAAGGGGCTGCAAAAAACTCCAGGCTGCAGTTTGGTTGAATTGAGAAACGAAGTTCACGCATTCTACTCAGGAAGCACGAATCATCCTCAATCGAGAAGAATCTATGCTTTTCTCGAGAATCTTGGAGATAAGATAAGGGATGCTGGTTATGTGCCTGATACCGACTCTATTCATGACGTGGAGGAAGATGTGAAGGAACAACTGCTCAATAGCCATAGTGAGAGGCTTGCCATTGCGTTCGGACTTTTGAATACAAGCCATAGTACACCAATACATGTAAGGAAGAATCTAAGAGTTTGTGGTGATTGCCATGAGGCTACTAAGTACATGTCACTTGTGACAGGAAGGGAAATTATAGTGCGTGATTTACGTAGGTTCCATCATTTTAAGAATGGAATCTGTTCCTGTGGCAATTATTGGTGAATCAATTAGAATGAGTATGTATTAAGGATAGACAACTAAAGAAATTCTCTTGGACTGATTGAACATCCATGGTAGATGCCCGTCTCCTATCACTGCAAAATCTATACATTCTATGAACCTAACAGCCAAAACAGTCAAAACTTGCTCCAGGCACTTTATAAGGTGGACGTGATATACCAGAAGGTGGCTTCTGGGGTGCGACGGAACCTAAGACCAAAGTTAGCAGAATTGAATCGGATCATGACTTGTTAATATTAGCCTAGATGATTATGTGACAAGGTATATGGCTTAAGAAATTGATGCAATGATAATAGTTTCTTGAAAAGTATTACAAGATATTGTTGCTTATGTATTGACTGGTTAAGGTTCTCTTTCTCATTCTCATTTCAGGTTAGTACTCAGGAAGCAGTGGATATTTCCTCGTCGTTTTTTGTGTAAGCTACAAGTTAATTATCATAAACTACTTATGAATTTGTTGATAGATAAGTGGATAGAGTCTGATTTGTAAGAATTATATACAGAATATGAATGTTTATTTAACTAAATATATAATTGAACTACAAGATGTGTATCTATCTAGGCTCCGACTCCACTGGTTGAAATATTTTCTGTACACCTTGATAGAAATCATGTAGATATCAAACTACAACATATTTAATCACAAAATATATTCGATATGCTAAGATTGAAAACTAGTGCTAGGAGAAAAAACAAGATAATTTAGCTTAATATATATTATGATTTTATGCAACATTATTTTGTATTCTAACACTCCCCCTCAAGATAAAGCTTAAAAGTAAAAGCTTTAGCTTGTGACAAGAAAAAAAATTGCTTCGCAAATAAATAAATAAAAATGGATAAAAAGGCAAGTCGCGAACGCAGGTGAAATCAGAGAGAATTGCTATAAAGATAGTGTTTCCAAATAGCTAGAATGATCATCTGCTTATGTGAAATTGATGGCAAGCAATCAAACAAAGCAAAGTCCGTTCTTCTCAAAACCGCATGTGGAAGCTTCAAACCAATAGTACCGGAGACTCAATATTTAACTTGAAAAATAAGTTTGAGAACAACTTTAGCGAGAAAGATGAGACAATGCACATGGAACGGAGATGGGGCCGGTGCATATGGAACGAAATTTGAGGCTGTCGCATCTGGATGAAGATGGGGTCTCTTGGGAGAAAAATTGAGGCTAGAACATCTGGACAAAAATGAGTCAAGAAACTGGTGTAAGAAAAGTCGGCCGGGAGGGTGGCCTGTGCGTGAGTAGGCTCTTTGTGGTAATTTTTGGGTGGTTAGTTGGTCTGGAGTATGTGGTAATAACTGTGGCGGTGGTGGTATTTGCCAGAAAAAATTGGCAGACAAAGTGATCGCAGACAGGAACGATGGCGATAGCGATGGTTGCTGGAACTGGCGCCAGCCGGAAAAGGAGGAGATCACACATGAAAAGAGAAAACCATATTACATTCTCAAACATTTGGAAACTCGGCTAAAGAATAGAGACTGGACAGGTCACGGAGGATCAAACCATGCTCTACATAGTAGATATCATGTTGAAGTTGTGAGATTTCATACAAATGATTAAACACTAACCCCTATTTATAAGAATACATAGATTCAATCCTAAATAAATAGAAAAATCAAGAAAGAAATAATCATAATAATAACTAAGAGATATGAAAATTAATCCAATGACATAATCTAAGATATGTTAACATTGAAATCCTATCTTAGGAAGATGTTATGAGATATTACTTTATTTTCTAAAAATTCTAAATAATTGATCAATGTTAATCTATATAATTTAAATAACCTAAAATGTAGTGTGCAAAATGACATAAATCATGTCAAATAGGCACATCCATTTCTATTGATCACCTAGGCATAATTTCGGATAAGGTTATATCGTTGACATCGTTGACAGGGACAGGGGCGGAAGCATTTGATGAAGTCCCTCCTTCAATTGTATTTGTAGCCCTTCCAACAGAAAAAGCTGAACATATGGGACTTGGAAGAGTAACATTGTCACTTCCAAGCATTTGAAGAACACTTGACATTGTAGGTCTATCAGCTGCATTATCTTGCACACACAATAAGCCAATCTGTATGCACTTCAACACTTCACTAGGATCATATGAATTCGCTATCGATGGATCCATCAATTCTAAACCTTTGCTTTCACTCCAGAAGTTCCATGCCTGTAATTTCTCATGCATTTGATTTTAGTTATAAGCAACGGAAAAATGAGTACAGTTTCCAAACATAAATTACGAAACCTACATATGTGAGAAGACTTTGGCCGTGCTCTGAAAGATAGAATTTGTTGTTCCTTTTTCCACTGATGATCTCTAGCAAAAGAACACCAAAGCTGAAAACATCCGATTTCACTGAAAACAAGCCTTCGATAGCATATTCTGGAGCCATGTATCCGCTGCTCAAAACCAAAAAGAACATTACATGCCGACAAAACAGAAAAATTCATAAAGAGAACATGTTAATTTTAAATTGAAAGAATCAGAAATAGTTTATACTTACTAAGTTCCTACGATTCTAACTGTATTTCCTTCCCCCTGGTCTCCTCCAAATGTTCTTGCTAGTCCAAAGTCTGAGATTTTCGGATTCATTTCATGATCTAACAGTACATTGCTAGCTTTCAAGTCTCGATGAATAACCCTGAGTCTAGAGTCTTCATGAAGATACAGAAGCCCTTTAGCAATCCCGTTAATAATGTTTAATCGTTGTTTCCAGTTCAACAGTGCCGCCTTTACCATATCTGGAAGTAAAATTTAAAGCAAGGTAAGTCTAGTAAAGTAAATGTGAATGATATAAAAAAATTATCCATAAATGCATTATTCTATATGGTAAGAATGAAAAAACTTGCTTGCAAAGAATGGTGAAAATCTTATAAGTGTAGCTCAATATGGAAGATGATATTGCTTAACTAAGCCTAATAGGAAGCATAGGTGATCTCTAGCTACCAAATTAAATAAATAAGGTTTTGACAGTCCAAAAACTTTCTCCTAAATAAGTTACTATAAAATATTAGATCAATCTTATGTTCTTAATCTCTGATAGCTGTCGTATAGCGGATAGAAGTCCATGGCGGAGAACCAAAATCCCGCCATACTAGCTGCTTTGTGGCGCCGTTATAGCGGACTATGACGGAAAAACCTGCAAAATTGGCCGATATTTATCATTGCAGCGAGTCCAAAAACCGTCATGTATGTCTGCCATAGCGGCCATGGCGCCGCTATTTGATAACATTGGCGGATAGCGGGGTAGCCACTATTGCAAAGATAAAAAATCGGTGTACAATGTTAACATAAACACTCAAAAGTAGAAAAATATACAAAATTGAAGTAGGAAGAACATAATAGAACACAACAAAATGAAGAGCAAAAGTAACACTTAAAAGTGTTTAAAACCGTTATTGCTGACGGTGACTCGCAGGCCAAAAGCGTCGCACCGAAACCTTTCACTGCTATGTTATTCCGCTATAACATGTTATTGCGATGCTATTGACAACAAAGGATCAATCTAAGAAATATAACTCTAGCTGGACATCCTAATTCCAAACGTTGAGCTTTACTGCTTAACAAGGCTAGTGGCAATGGTCACAAAACTAAAGTTTCTGAACCAAAACCTTCCCCTAAAGATTGAGGTTCCCATAAGATACCTAAATCAATGTTGTTAGATACCAGCACTATAGCATAACGAATTTTAACGAATCTGCTATGAAATCCGCAACACTATCCCTGTTAAAGATAGGATTGAATTGAACTACTATAAGGTAAAATATTTCATTCTTTCCTTTTTTTTCTGTATGTATCACCATGATAGTATGTAATTAACTGCAGGTTACTAGTTTGGGAGTTATACCGCGTAGCTGAACATCGAGGCTTGAATTCGGTAAGTATTCATAGATAAGCAGCTTCTCCTTTTTCTCAATGCAGCAAGCCAGCAATCTCACAAGGTTCCGATGCTGCAATTTCGCAATCAACATTACTTCATTCTTAAATTCCTCCACTCCTTGAACCGAAGTTTTCGAAAGCCTTTTGACAGCAATTTCCCTTCCGTCTGCTAAAACACCCTAAAACATTTTCCAAATTTCTTAGTAAGAATGCCGCAATAGGAAAATTCAAACAAAAACATCATATGTAGCTTGTAAGTTATCCTAATTTATTACCTTGTAGACACCTCCAAATCCACCTTCCCCCAATTTATATTTATCAGAAAAATTATCGGTACACTTTAGAATCGTACTCAGAGGTATCATAGGTAGGTCCATGTTCACATTCTCCTCATTGTTAGTCTGATCTTGAGAGAACATTGCATCAATGTTCTTCATCTCTTTTTCAACTGAAAAGATTGAAAAAGTACCTCAGCTTATGCGAGTGTTGTAAATCCTAGGATACCGAGTTCGGTTCCTACTCATAAAAAGACGGTTTGAGTTAGAGATTACCTTTTTTTCGTTCTAAGCGCCTGTAATAGTATATACTAAAAACCAATAGCGCTACTGCTACCACTCCGATCACAGGAATGATTATTTTTAGAGTCAACGACTTTGTTTCATCCTTTTCTGGCGCTGCATTAACAAAACACGACAAGTTAGCGTTAATCAACTACGCATTCAATGCATTTATTGTAACACTAACAAATATAAGTTTCGTGATCCAATTTAGACATAGATTCCAAATCAATGAAGTATCAGAGTAGATTTCTGGTAAACTTTTTTACCTGATCCGTCTCTGCGTAAGTATGGGGAGTATATAAACTCCACAGCACGCATTTGAAACCAAAAGTCATATGATCCATACCGTCTAGAAATATTGACAGGTTTACTTACTTCTAACGGTACATTACTAGGAGAGTGCGTACAATACAAGATTTAGCGCTATGGATATTCATTCTTTGAATCTTATATAGAACTTGAAAAGATGAAACGATACCTTTCTGAGGCGGAACTGCGTCATGCTGTACATCATTCAAAAGGAATGGCTGAGTTTCATACATAACAACGCAACTAGGCGAAAAGATTCTCCAAAATCGCTTCTCCTTGCAACATTTTTCAACCTCTTGAATCATATTGCTCAAACAAGTTCTACATTCCTCGCTAGTAATATCTCTGCTACATTGCACCCAACCGTATCTTCTTTGAGTACCGTTTATGTTAAACATATGCGTACCAAACATTAAAGGTGCTTCTGATCCCATATCTATCAAACCATTCATCAAAATCCTAGCATCACTATCAAATTCACCGGTAGAATTCTGCGTTGCGTCAAACATAGGAATCCTCGGTCTTATATCTAATTTGCCGAAGAAATTCTTATTTGAGTACCTCAGAAGACAAAACGGACACCAAAAAACAGCAGAAACATTATTCGGGCACACCTGTTTTATCATTTTGCTAGAATTTTCAATGCACGAGTTGCAAAGGGTGGCGTTCGCATCACCACGACAAAAGTATAGTCCATAAATCTTATTGGTTTCATCAAAACCTGAAGTTCTGTGACCGAAACCTTTGCTTTTAGCAGAATGTGATGACAGTAATGAGAGTAAATCGTTGAGGTTGGTTTGATATCTCGGAGATGGATGATCAGAAGACTGATCTAAACAAGCATATCTATAATCAAGTGATTCTGTATAAGCAAAGGGAAAGAAACATATGAATTTGATGGTAAGTAACCATAGATACAGCATTCTTGAGCTGCTACAACCACTTTGTCTATTCAATAGTTTATGCGAAGTTAGTCTCATCTCGTAGTTTTACACTGACGTTCAATAAAAATCGAGTATTTGACAAATATTTTTAAAAACAGTTCTAATACATGCATACTAACAATACAATGAATTTTTATTCGATGATTTACACTGTCGATGCATTTCAATTTAACTTTACTTTTAATAAATGACAAACATTTTAGTCATTTAAATGAATGAACTTTGAAATTTATATATCAAGCCAAAATGTTAAAGTAAAATATCGAAATTTTGTGAATCATAAATACAAATTTAATATGTGGAGATGCGACTTTGAACTCACTGTTTTTTAATTTTTATATATTTAATTTGCGAAAAATATGAAGAAAAAAAACATTTTTAGTGGATTTTACAAATATTTTTTTCTTCTCTTTTTTTTTCTTCAAATTTGACTTATTTTTAACCCAAGTTTCAAGACATTTTTCCTTCTTTTTCGTTTCCTCGGTTAATATAAACAAAACCAACAACAACACTAGAATTCATTTGTAGGAGAAAATGGTAGAAAGAAAAGTGGAAAAAAACAAGATTTTTTGTTTGTTATTAGTTTGATAAGGAAGAAAATATTTTTACTTTTTTAAATATTGTTTTAAAATTAATTAAGAATACTAAGAATATTAATAAATTGTGTAATTTTTTTATAAAATTATTTGTCTTTTTCTTTAGTGTCTTAGACTTTTTATTAATTCATTAAAAAAATCACTTTGTAATAAATATTATTTTCAATTTAAAAACAATAAAATAAAATAAAATAAAAATTTATAAAAAACCGGGGTTCAAAATAAACAGAGAGATTAAAAGGATAAAAAGATAGATGTATTTTTTTTTTGTTTCAAATCGATCCAAAATGAAAACATAAATATACTCTCAAAATGTTACAAAAAGAAATAATTGGTCAATAAAATTTAAAACATTTAAATAAATATTATTCAAATAGATTACTACCTCCATTTTTAATTAAAAATTTAATTGTAAAAAAATGTTTTCATTTATTTGTTACAGTATAACACAAATAAAATATTAATACTATTTTTTATTATATTTTAAATTAAATTACAGCTTCTTTTCTTATTTTTATTAAATTAATCATCTTATTTTAAATTCAAACAGTATTAATATTTTTCTTATTTTTTTCACTACAAATAAATGAAGTATCAAAATTTTTAAATTATATTTTCTTATCTCTAAAGTTCTACAAATAATTGTTAGGTTTATCAAGTTTCACAAATGATAAATTATTTTAAAATGGACAATTCTTCAATTTTAAATGCAAAAATGTATATAGGAATTAAAAAAATAGGAGATTAAAACGGTATCAAGTCAAATATTAATTACTCATTCTTTTTCAATTTTTTAAATATACTTTTCATTGCCATTAATAAAAAAGTAACTATAAAATAACTTGTAATTTCTTTTTTCTTATATAACTTATAATTTCTTTTTATCACCAAAAAAATATAGTTTATATATATATTCAGAATTGTCAAAATAATATATAATTTAATAAATTTAATAGATATATACCAACAACTTAAAATAATTTTATATTGTCATTCAATAATAAATCAACTATCTGTTATATTATTAAAAAATTAAAATAAAAAAAATAATATATCTTAATATATAATCGTAATTGATTGACAATGTAAAAATAATGATATATACAAGCAAATCTAAATGATTAAAAGTATTAACTATAAAAAATTATTTTAGCCCGTAGAAAAACAGGGATACCAAATAAAAAACCTAAAATAAAATTTTAAAAAGTAGAGAATTTAGTTTCTAACAATAATTAAAAAGGACATGTAACCAAAAAAAATTAAAAAGGACAATTAAATCTTTAAATATAAAAAAAGGGTATCCAAGAAAATTTATTGCATAAGTTATATTATTTATTATTTTTCATCTTTAACATTCAAAATTAAATAAAGCTAATAGTAATACTTATTTAATTAAATATAAAAAAAAACACTCGACAATTCAAAAATAAAATTATAACATATCTAAAAAAAATACAATGGCCTTGTATAAAAAAACAAAGTAGATGTTTATATATATTGCAAAAAAAAGGTTATGTTTGTGAAGTTCACAAACACATATTTCATAAAAATTAATTAAAAGATACCCCGACACAAATAATATATATGATTAAGCATGCTGGGAGGGTTAGTGATAATTTTTTTTTTATATTCTTCATATTTAAATTCGAATGAATAAATTTCATTCTTTATTTTAATTTAATCATAAAATAAAAATAAAAATAAAAATTCATTTCACCGCTCTACCACCATCTATTTAATGGACTTTCTTAAAATAAAAATATTTATTTTTTCTGGCATCAAATTTCATTACAAAACAATCTTAAAAAATTTCATACATATATTTTAAATATTTCAAATATATAAAAATATTATTTTTAAAATTAAATAAAAAATATAAAAAATAAACAAAGTGGATTTAAGATAGATATTAATATTTTCGTTATTCGATCCATCTTCATATTTTAGAATCGAAGAAAATCTAACCCGAATTCAAATTCAATCATATGCATAATTTTTTGTCAAACTCGATGAATTCAGGGATATCTCACTTATCATATCACATTCAAAGTTTGGTGAGAAAATATAATAAATTAAGTTTGAAGTTTAAATTATTATATCCCATACAAAAAATAAATTAGTTATTTTTTATTAAAAAAAGCTTTTTAAAATTAAAAATTAGAGTATAATATTATTATATTATATAAATAAAATGTAGCAAATTTTCATTATATTTTAAAACATTTAAATAAATTTATTCTCATAATTGTAAGTGAAAAATGTGAATAAAAATATTTTCAAAAAAATTATTACTATTATTTATCTTATTTATAATATATAACAAAATTTTGACTAAGCTAATAATAATTTTGACTTGACTTTGTTCAATCTATTACTTCAACTTTCTGTTTATTTTATGTTAATTTCTCCTACAATAACTTTGACTCGACTAGTACGATTCCACTCTATTAAGGAGCGTGATGAATAACTCATCCTTGAGAAAATCTTAGAATGTGGTGAGGCCGCCCATGCGTCGAACATGTGTTATAACTCATCGAATCTTATTTGAGATCTTTTGTGCTTCTCATGTGACTATGAGTGAATGGGTCAGGATAATTGATATTATGTGGATCTGGGCAACAATATTCGTGACGATCTACATCCCTAAGCACAAGGCATGTAAAGGCAAAGTGATTAAGAAAAAGCATGACAATTCATGGACCCTTAAGCATGACACTTGTAAGGGCGAAGTGATTATGAGACAATTTTACTCAGTGATGTTCTCACTTTCATGTATATGATGAGCCCGAGTTAAACAAAATCGTAAGACAAGACACAATTGATATTCTGCAACCAATGGTTCACAGTGAAGGCTTTTGGATTCCTTCATCGAGCGATCCTTATCCACTCAAACTTATTAGGAAAGACCATTTGATATCATGCCTTGTTTGTGTGCATGCTTGAAAACAAATCTACTAATATTATTCTAGACCGGCCAAAGACCTAATAAGATAAAGTCCACTCATCTCGTCGGCTCCATTGAGCCCAATGTATAAATATAATTACAAGAGGGTTTCAGGTACATAATCTCTAATCTCTACTCTCAATGTGATTGTCTTAAATCCTAAACTGGCTTGGCATTGGAGTACTAACCTTGCTAGCACCCCCTTGGTTCCACCGTACTAGAGATTAGCAACACCAATTTAAGATCAACATCTCTGATTTAAGATGCATTACAATCGTAACATTCGGTCCATGAAGTTGTATCACTGAATCGCTTATGAAGCTTCTTTCCACCGTAACTTACACAATCTTCTCCATTTCTTGTTCTAAAATGGAACAAATATTGTTACAAAATCATGATGGATGTTGTCTCTGAAAACTAAGTGGTTTTGAGTTTTCTCCTATATATTTTAGGATAAGCTACAAACTTCTTCATTGGATGTTATGTTTAAGTCAAATGCTGCCTGGAAGCCTCTGGAAGTTGTTTTGAGAAAACAACTTATTTGGAAAGCTATTATGGCCTTTGCTGGAACTGGAATTTTCGAAGAGGAAACCGGTTTCCTGAAATATGAAAACCGGTTTCTGCCGTAATTTTCTGTTTTTCAGTTTACTGTTTGTAACCGTTTTTTTTTAGTTTGTTTTGTTTGTTTGTTATATTTTCACACTCATACAAATACCCTCTTGTAATGTTGCTTGATGTTTAATGCCAATTTATGAGTTTCTCCTCAATTACTCTCCCCCTCTCTCATAATCTCTATCTTTCTCTCTCAACTTCATCTTCTCCATTTAACCATTTTCACCATTAATTCACCAACTTCATTTTGTGTGTATGTTCCAACATTTGGCATCAAAAACCTGGTTCTGATCCATTAACCCACTGCAAATTATGTCTACCATTTCCAGTGATCGAATCCCTACCAACCTTCCAATTCTTGACTCCAAGAACTATGATAAATGGTGTAAACAAATGAAAGTTTTATTTGGGTATCAAGAAGTTCTCAAAGTCGTTAACCATGGTGTTACACCTCTTGGGGAAGAAGCTACAACTGCACAACAAACTAAATTCAAGGAAGAGAAGAAGAAAGACTACTATTTTACCCCAAAATTTTCCCTCCCACATTTCTCAAAACATTTCAAGAAAGATCTCCAAGTTGCTCAAGGTAGTCCAAGGGTTAGCCAGACAAGCTCTCTCCTAAGGCAGTCTACCCCGAATTAGGGTTTTGTGTTGCATCAAGATCCCTGGGTCCAAGTGGTCCAAAATGCTCACCAATGTCTTAATATGTTCTCAAGATCATCCATATCAAGTTTCAAGCCTTGCAGAGGAAGTTTGCTCAATCAATTGCTCAAAGGTCCAAAAATCGACTGTGCTAGGGCAAAAGTCAACTGTGACCTACATACAGT